TGTTTTCATGTTTTGTTTAACGTTTTGTTTTCTGTCGTTATGCTTCGGTTTCCTTTTATTTGTGAGTTTTTTCTGCGATTTCATTGCTGGTTTTTGAGGCAAGTTAGTGAGCGAAAAGCGATGCGAAATCAGCATAAACAAAAGATGAGCTCAATTTATTTCTCTTTCGTTGAATGCCTTTGTTAAACTATTTTCAACGTGTTTTTTTTTCTCGGTACGCGTGGGTGGGATGAAACTGGCCACGACGAAAGACGGGCACCTTTAATCGTACAATTGCGCAACACCAAATTGAATGAACAAAAATGTCAAAAGAACAATCAAATAAAATATCAAGACACTGAATCTGTATGTTTTATAAACAAAAAATCATTTAACAAACACGTTGTCATTCTTCATTCTTATTCAATTCCATCCAAAATATTCGGGCTTACATTTTTTTCTCCAGCCCCATCACATATCGTTTCATGAAAATAAAAAAAAAAAACAATGAAAAATTCCTTGTCTAAATAGAATGAATGTAATTATTCCGCAAAACTCATTTCCTTTATCAATTTTTTAATTAAAAAATTGTTTGCTCCCTTATTCAATGCAATGTGATACAACGGAAATCGTATGGAATGAAACAAAAGCCTGCACATAAATTGATTGGCTGCTGGTGAAGAAAAAAAAAACAACAACGACAAAATCACTTCACGCCGAATTACAAGACGGAGATGCTTCTTTTCTCTACTTACGACATAAAATAGAACGGTGGACTGTGTGGCGATATAAGTGAAGTGCGCCTTTGTCATTGTATCTCAAGAACACACAAACACACACACTTAAGTCAATTTGTTTTATTTTTTTATCATTTTTGTCTTCAGGTAAGATTACGCTGATGGACGGGGCGCCAATTTTCAAATGTAAACAAAATTTAAAAAAGAAGAAGATGGAAACCGGAAACTCAAGTCACATCAAAACAAAAATGCCATTACAATAACCAGCAGCAAAAACGGTAGACTATAAACTAATTAGATATTTCAAAATACACAAAGCTTTGTTGTGATATCAATTTCCATAACGCCTTTTTACGGCGACATTATTTCACAACAGGAAATCAAGTCTCTCTTAGACAAAGACATTTTTTTTTGCCAATGAACTCTATCCAATTTTCATCATCGTAATAACAATCAATATTGAGTTTTCCATTTTATGACTTTTAAAAGGATGATTCCATTTGTTTGCAATCTCTCTACATAAGATCGAATCAACTTCGGTCAAAAAAATAGTCACGTGCTAGCTATGACAAAGTCATTTTAAATGCATCCAAAAAAGACCCTGTTGACTCAGTCATTTAAAGCTTTGATGCACACAATCAATATCTAATTACGGTATCAAAGTGAGTCTACAGCGAGAAAAAAAAGAACGAATTTAAATGGTTTGAAAAAAATTTATTCGAATATTAAATCGGCTAAAGAATAAACGGTACTTTAAGATTTTTTTTCATGTATAACACGTGCGGTCGAGCGACAGAGTTTATCTGAGTTGAGAACGTTTTTTTTTCTTCTTATCCATTTGTGCGTCATTCGTTCGCTCTTACCTCGATAAATCGCTTTCAATGAATCTTCCGTTGAAACTCTATATCTAACAAATCATAATGTCACAATTCATTTAAATCAAATATTCCATGCGCTCTGCGGCTCTATTGAAACGAATGCAGTTTGTTTTTTTTTCCTCGGTAAGATGAGAAAAAAATGTCACCCATAAGAACATTAACCCTTCACTGTAGAAAAAAACGTGCTGTTGTTGTGCAGAGAGCGAGAAAAAGTTTCGACGAAAAAGAACCGTTCAGCTGCCAGTCAATGTAAAAAATTGTGTCTGTGAAAGTAATGTATTACTTGGATATGCATATGAAAGACACCGAAAAAAAAACCATACAGACATGCATCGCAAAGCGACGGAGAAAAAAGCAGTTACCCACGCGGAAACATATTCCACATACATGATGGCAAAAAAAGGGATGTATACAACTGCGAGCGCAACGATAGTCCAATAACAACAACAACATAGAAAGTAAAACCAAAACAGAATTTGCCGGCTCACATACTCACATGCTCAATCAGCTGTTTTGCTGACGATAAACATGTGTGTAACTCACACGGTTTTGTATACATACAGAACATAAATTCTTTCGCTCTGGCATCTTTACATTGTTTAAGAATCTGCACGTATGCGAATATTATTTATTGTTACATATAAAACGAAAAAGTCAACCACGATTTGTGAGACATTTATATTATGTGATTCGGAGGTTTTTTTTGTCATCATCATTTTTCGTTTCGTATGCCACACATGCATATGACGGAATCAATGCCTTTTATATGGTATAAGAAATTTTGTCACATATTTTTTGCTATAGGCAAAATTGTTTTGCTTTAATTGATGTTGATGTCAGAAGGAGAAAGATTATCTCTAGTAAGAACCTCTAGTAAGATTTTCACAAATGACATTCTTCGATGGCGGTATTGTTGTTTCCAGAAAAAGAAAGTCGTACATATACAAACATAAGTAAACAGACAAGGTGAAGTGGGAACTACTCTTTGAGCATCCAATTTTGCCATTAAATTTTTGAAAAATTTAAGAAAAGTTTGGTAACCCCTTCACAAAATTCAATACTTTGCACCAATTTTTGAACATTTCTGTCCCTGTCTGTTCACATATGTGTACAAAAGCATTTCACAATTGAATAGTATAAATGAAGGAGCACGAAAATCGTTTGTACAAGAAATATTCACCGAATGAAGATATAGCATAAAAATTAACACGAAGTACTTCGAGCAATAGAAAATGTTTGAAGAATTCATTTCTAATTCTAATGTTCGTGTGCAAACTTTGTTAGTCAAAAATAGCGCAAAATGTGGAGCGTAGATAAAACTTTTGATGGTTTAATGTGAGTCTTACATTGTGAGATTATTCAAAACCGTTGTCATTAGTGCAAAAAAAAAGATTTAAGCTCAAAGAAATGCGAGCATATAATTCATGATGATTTCGACGATCCCCAATTAATTTCCAATTTGATGTTTATTCCAAATTTGTTATATAACTGTGCTGCGTTCTTAAACATGCTTCAGGCTGAACGCGGATTTTATTTCGTTTCTTCTCTCCTTCCCTCCCCCTCTTGCTCGCTCGCTCTCTCTCTCTCTCTCTCTTGCAAGTATAGCTCATTTACAAATGGAAATGCTTTTAAGGGATCGCACTTAGTTTCATTTTTTTTACTGTTGGTGCAATTTGAACATTTTTCTCGGTTGAACGAATGATTCTCGGCGACTCTTCGAAAGCATCTTTTTCTGAAATTCCAACAGAAATCGTACACCGATTTGAATTAAGGTGAGCTAAACGTCTGTTTGAGACACATTTGGCCAAATGAAAATTGAAAAAAAAAGAACGAAAATAAAGTAAATAAAATAGAACAAAATAAAAGCAAATTGTTTTATTTTCGAATAAACAAACGTCTTAAGCAATAAACATTGACCATGTCATGATAAGCATTGTAAGCGCTGCTAAACGTATACTGTTTTGATTTTTCGCCACTCATAATTCCCTCTGAAACACAAAGAACAATGAACAAAAATCGTCTAAATTGCCCGAATTGGTAAGATAATTTCCATTTTGTTTTAATTTAAATCGTACAAAATGTTTAAAGTCATCTATTATTTAATAATGATACACCTTAAAATGTTTTAAGATTTGGAGACAGCCCAAATGTACAATTGTAATTCATTTTCGCTAAAAAAAATGGAAACGAAAAGCTTATTAAATTGTCCGTAAGGGAAGGCACAAAACATAAACATTTACAAAGTGGAGTCTTCGTTTTTTTTTTTTCTGCTTAATCGAAGCGTCTGAATACTCATACCGGTGGCAACATGTTTCATGAGAAAAACAAAATGATTTGTTGCTCAAAAGAAGACAAAAAAAACAAGCAGAAAATAACTGTGATAAACAAAATTTGATGAGCTGATGCCATTTAGCCTACATATGTACAATGTATACCAACTTGAATGCACAGATTTCCATTTTCCAAGTCCATAAAAGATTCATTGAAAATACCCATCTGTTTAAATCATAAAATAATCACAGTTCGCAAATTCAAATGACGATTTAAAGATGGATCTCAAGTGCAGGAAAGTGAACGATATCAAAACCAACGCAAAAAAGCACTTAGGAAGCACCCAGACAAAAATATGTGACACCGCCGGTAATTCAAACTGTACTGAATTGATTCGAGGAATCAAATATTTTTTTAATGTTCACGTGCATAGTAAATGATCGTAATCAATTGACGTCATTCATGCCATTCATTAAATTTTTAGACAGGTTGATATCATGATTTTCTCATGATTTTTTTTTCTATAAAAAATAATTTCGAAAACATCATACAGGTCGAAATGCGTTCAGATGCGACCTAAAATTATCGTAATTTTAATTTGGAGGACCATACAAAATTGTGACAGTCACAGTACAAAAACCATAAAATATAGCCAAATCTCGAATTAAATTTCCGAGCACTGGTTAATTCGCTTTATATGTTCGCAAAACTTAAACAAATCCAGTGACAAGTAAAGAAAACTCAACGGCATGTTAACGATATAAATAGAGTGGATGCGGTATTTTAAATTTTAAACTCACCCGCAGAGTACTCTTATCTCGAAAACGAGCAATCGGAAAGTAGTAGCTAGCGATCTGCGTAACGCACGTGATTTATTTCAGTAGACAACGAAACATACGAATGAGTTAGTTTGACGTTTCTATTTGTTGGTATAAGACGTGTACATCTGTACATAGACTATCGCATATTTATTATTTCGATTCAGTAAGTAAATATATTTTTCACGCACCGGATGAGAATTTTTGATAATTTTCTTTCATTTTCAAAGAAAACCACATAGTGTTTTCTAAAGAATTAATAAAAATATCAAATAAAGAAGTAAAGAAATACAGTATATTTGAAGTGCATTCCACGATTAATTACTTCGCATACTTTCACCGGTTATGTTCGCTGCCGCTCACCGTTGCGTATTCTGAAACGAATCTTGATTGCACGATCGCAATGCTTTGCGCAACGTATTGATCATGCAATCAAATGAATACATAGAACCAAGTGAAAAAAGCGAGTATCTATTTTTGTTGATGAACGCTATACGTCAAACTTTAAATTAGAATTTTTGAATGATTTCGTCTTGAAATAACAATGAACTATGTAAATAATTGATTTTTTTTGGGTCAAAACTTAATTAAAACCGATAACAATAGGTTTTATTGCATAGTCATTCCAGCAATGACAACTTTATAACTTAACTAGCGGTGCTCAGTATGAAACTCAATTGACTAATTAAAAAAAAAATAGTGAAAAAAGTTTGGCGATTCGATTTTGATGGAATAATTTTCAATCATATATTTTACAGATAAACGTTCAGTCGAAATGATGTCGAAAGTATTCCGATTTTCATTGATTCTCACGTTTTTAATAAATTCAACACACTCACTGAAGATACTTGGTCTGTTTCCACATCCCGGTTTGAGCCATTTTCACTTTTTCCATCCGATTATGCGAGGCTTGGCCGATGCTGGCCATGATGTTACCGTTCTTAGTCATTTTCCCGACAAAAATGCACCACCAAACTATAAAGATTTGACGTTGAATGGTGCCGATTCCCTGACCGATTCTGTTGATTTACAGGTAAAATTTATTCCCAAAATGTTCGAAGTTAATCTATAACAACTGAATTAAATTCATTTCTAGTGGTTCTCGTATCGTCCATTTTATCAACCATTCTTAGAATTTGAAAAATTAGCCCAATGGGGCTATGAAGCTTGTGAGTTGACATTGAATTCGACCGATGTGCAAAATCTAATTAATACAAATGTAAAATTTGATGTGCTACTTGTTGAACAGTTTAATAGTGACTGCATGATGGGTTTGGCATGGTGCGTTTTAAATTATCAAATTTAAAAAAAAATCATCATATGTACAGGATGTTATGGAATTGTACTTTTCTATAAATCATGCATTTCTGTAGAAAAGTCCAGTCTGTATATCAATTGCTCGGACGTTTGAGGGGATATAACTTTAGTTAAACGACTTCTGATGGATAAGTGTTCACATTATATTTTTAATCTTCTTGATAGGAGTTGGGAGAGCGATTTATATGCAATTCGATAACATCTTGTGTATAAAAAATGAATATTATATAAAAACAATTAAAATATCTGTTTATAAATGATTTTCTAAAAAAAAGGAAACTAAAAGCACCTGTTATCGGCTTGAGTAGTTGTGTTTTGATGCCTTGGCACTATGACCGATTTGGTATGTCACTATATGAGCGTGAAATTCGATACAAAAATGCTCAATTCTATTATGTAATTTTGTCTCTTTCTCTATCCAAATAGGTATACCATGGATTTTATCATATATAACTGCACAACCTTTGGGTTCTACGGACAATATGACTTATACTGAACGTTTATTGAACTTTTTCTATATGAATCTATACAAGATTTGGTATCAGTAAGTATTTCAATATAGAAATCCATCGGTGCAAAAAAAAATATTCCATTTGTTGTATGTTTTTAGCTATATCAGCTTAAGACAAATCGATACACTTACTCGAAAATATTTGCGAGATGAAAATATGCCACATTTAAGTGAATTGGTGAAAGAAACAAGTTTAATGTTTCTAAATACACACTATTCCCTTGAAGGATCCAGACCGAATCCACCGTCGATTATCGAAATTGGCGGTATCCACATTACAGAACCAAAGCCGTTAGATCCCGAGTTAGAATCGTTTCTAAATTCAGCCGAAGATGGTGTGATTTATGTTAGTTGGGGATCATTGATTCGAGCTGCCACTTTACCCGAAGACAAACGTAATCATCTCCTGAAAGCGTTTGGTTCATTCAAACAAAAGGTTTTATGGAAATTCGAAAATGAAACACTGGCAAATCAACCATCGAATGTACTCATTCGAAAATGGATGCCACAAAAAGACATTTTATGTTAGTTATTCAGAGATTTACTCACATGGATTATTCGTTTTAGAGATTTTTCATCATTTCTTTTTTCAGGTCATCCAAATGTACGTGTTTTTGTCAGGTATGTATTAATATATGATTTATATTCGCAACACCATTTAAAATTCCAAATTTTTTTGTAAGCCATGGCGGTTTGATGGGAAGTAGTGAAGCCGCCTATTGTGGTGTGCCTGCTGTGTTGACTCCAATGTATGGTGACCAATTTCATAATTCGATGGCTGTAAAAGCACGTGGAATGGGCTTCATTGTTCAGTATGAAGATATAACAGAAAAATCGGTAAAAGCAGCCATTGCTGAAGCACTAGGCACAGATGCACAACAAAATGCCAAAACAGTTTCATATTCATATCGAAATCGACCAATGTCGCCTTTGAAAACTGCTATTTGGTGGACTGAATATGTAGCCGCAATGCATGGAGCACCTCTTATGAAATCACATTCGGTAAATATGTCGGCATTTACATACTATTCTTTTGATGTGTATGCTACAATTGCAGTCATTTTATTACCGATTGTCTATTTATGGGTTTATATAGTGCGTAAGTGCTTCAATACTTCAAATTTAAAATCGAAAAAAGACTAGTGTGATTTTTTCATGAAAATTAGCTCTGATTAATTTTTCAATTTAAAAAAATTATTCAGCAATTATTTAATTTTACTTTCGGTGCTTCTAAAATAAAGGTTACGAGTACTGTGTTATCAAATTTAAATTTTGTTTTTAATTTTTATGGCAAAAGTAAGAAAAGATTTGAGTGTCTATGGTAACCATAATATAGTTCATAACTGGTAAGTATTTCATCTTTTGCATCTATAGTCAACTTTCGATGCCACAAAAAAATAACAATATGTACTATGGTAATTCCGAATTTCAGAATCCAAAACGAAGAACTATGATTAAATCCTTACAAATATAAATAGCAAACTTTTATAAAATCCAATCAAGTAAAGTCCAGTTGATGTAAAAAAGAAAATGTATGCCGTGATGTAATTTTACGATTGATTAGACTTTTCTATTTTGCTTAATCTATTTCACGATAAAATATTCGCTAGATAACGGTTGCTGAAACGCATAATTGAATTGAAATGTTTAGTGCTTCCATTTATATTGTGGCCATTTTTTTCGTACCCATTTTTACTTACTTCATTCTCCTATAAGTCATAAATTACATTAAAATTATATTGAATAAAATGATTTTCCGCTTTGGTTAATGAATTTATACATAAAAAAAACCACAACGGCAACGGCAGTGGAATGACGATGGCTTCTTATGATTGAAAGTTTCTTCAAAGTTTTACCCTAATTATGGTTGATTCTTTCAATGGAAAAAGCACTCTATGCGATTACATAATTTCGTTCATGAACACAAATATGGAGAATAAAAACTGTTGGAAGCTTTAAAACTTTTGCGTTTGGCATTATTAGTTCAATTAGCCGAAGTGATGTGTCGATGATGGAATTTTTGGAACCGGTAATGGTACAACATTGGTCTCACGACTTTTTAATTCATCAAAAGCTGATTTAATTTCATCACTTGAAAGTATGTTTGGTGTTTTCTTTTTAATAATCTTTTTACTGTGTGCACGCAACGATGGCCGAGGAAAAGAAAACTGTTAAAAATAAGTCTAAGGTCTTTTGGTGGACGATATCATTCTTTTTGAATTTCCAATGGCAACCAATTTAAAATGGCTCGATAACGTAACCGAAGAACGCCGATAGAAAAAATCTCATCTCCGGCATTGGTTACGCTGACAAACATCGAATTAATACATCTATGAACATAGGCGTCTATAACTAATTGTTGTTGAATTTTTTTAAAAAATAGAATGACGTGCGCACTGGCGCACAATACGTTAAACAGGCGACATTTTTTTCTATCGCATCCACTGAAATATGTTTCTATTCATTTAGGATTTTTTTTCCCCATTATTATGAATATTTCTCTTGTTCGGTTGGTGTTGTGATGATTGGAATGCGTTCACAACGACAAATATCAAAAAGACCCTTAAACATTAAAATGTTTTTACTCATTTAAATCGTTGGCTTTTCAATCATTTTTCATTTTAGCATTTTGCCCATTGATATTCAGCATTCGATGTAAAAGTTAAAAAAAAACGACATGAAAATTTCTCCGACGGAGGGAAGCAATCGACGAAACAAAGAAAACGTGTCATAAATTTTTCATAGTTTCAACGGAAATAAACGGAACGCCAGCAAAAAAAAAAAACAGAAAAAAAAAAATCATTGAGCAGCATAGTTTTTTCGCCCATCTTTTTCCTTTTGGCTCGATATTAGTAATTAGCCATCGCATAAATTGCGTCTGGAAAGAAAAAGCAATTAGCCATCGAGGGTGTGTATTACAATCGATTTGACTGATTTCCACGGCATGTATTGTATTATCGTGGCGACGTTGTTTTCATCATCTGTTAAAATGGAGCATTTATCATTAAATCATGATATTTTTGGTGGCGGAGAGGGCTGGGCAAACTACATATCATGAAAAATCCTTAACCATTAAATTTGTGTAAGCCCATACAGATATTTACCAAAAATGTTTGTTTGTCTTTCTCAATCTTCATCGCCGTTAAGGTTAGCAAGTGAATATTTTTGGATAATTTATTATTCAATAAATTATAATGGATCATATACAATAACGGGCATCATATCGCTACACTGTCATACGCGCTGCGCTCACATTCGTCCGCTTTTAGTTTAAAACGAGCATGGTGATAATGTGGCCGTGGCGTTTAAAATATTATACTTTTTTTTTTCATCATTCGGCTCAGCTGAATCAAAAGAAAAGAATGGGAGTGCGCACGGCTGTAATTTAAGTTTTCATCAAAATTGCATCAATTTGATATGAATGTTCGAAGAAAGGAAAACAACACCAAGAAACGAAATCAAGAGAGGAAGAGAGATATTGAAGTGGATGAACAATCATGTGCCCGATCCCATATGTTTGGTCGGAACAACTAAAATTCATTTTAATTTTCACTCAACCACTTTTCATATACAAACTGAACATGCTTTATCCGTTGCGGTTTTTATCGCGTTGTGCTTTCATTTATTAGATGGACATTTTTGTTCTATCGCTCAGCCCCTTGGATCGGCTTTCAGTTGCCAACAAGCATTCATTTTTATACCGATTAAATTGCTTATGCCCGCTAACTTAAATACCATCGAGAGCCATTCGTTAATCTTCATGCACTGAATAAAATGAGAAGAAAAAGAAGAAAAATGCTATCACTTTTGTTAGTCGACGAAATTTTTGCCATCAATATGGCGTTGGAATACGGTTTCTTTTTTCGCTATTTATTTACTGATGCCAACAATACATTTACACCTTTATATTCGTTGCTGCTGCTCTTTTCTTTACACCGTGTTTTTTTTTTGGTGCCGTGTGATATCACTTAATAAGCGAACGCAATGTTGTTGCAAAAGTTGTTGATACTTTAAAATTCATGCGATTACATTGTTGCCACAGCATAGAATGCTATTTCTACTTAAAAGGTATCCTGAGGGTAAAGCCATTCATTTCACAATGACGACTACAACTTAAAAAAAGTACGCGCTCGTACACACAATGAAACAAAATTATGAAACAAAAACAAACGGAGACATGGTTAAAATTGAGAACGATAAAAGTGAAAAGTAATGGAAGAAAAGTTCTAATGCGCTCACACCATCAGCCAAAAAAGAAAAGAAAAAAGTACGCGATAAATGGCATAGAGATGCATGTCCAAGCCTATCAAGTTACTCACTTTGTGCTTGAACACACGGTCATTTACATTGAAACTTCTTTATATTTAATACTTTTACATTACTCATTCAACGAGCCACTTCAAATGGGCGAAAAACTCAGTGAAAAAGAAAAATAAAATGAAAAAGGCGACGAGAAAAAAATATCTTTTCTTTTTTTTTGTTCCATAAAATACGAAAAATGCGAGCGTCAAACAAATCAAGGGAAAAAAAGAGTGTGAGCTACGGAAATGGTTTTCTTTTTGCTGTGGAATAAGTTTGTATAAAAAAATGTGCAAATGAATGTTTTGCATGATTTCATACAGAATGCTAGTTTCTTGTCAAACGCATATTGTATTTTTTAATGAAATTTCGACAAATATCCCATTTCTCTCTCACTCTCTCTCATTCTGATCTTTGAATAATATTTCTCACTATAAGCTTATATTTAGTGTATGTTTGGTGAAACGTTGTTATTCAAAAACTTTTCACTTTCGTTAATGAGATTGTGAGTTTGTGTCGCAAAGTGATACGTCAAGTGGTCCATGTCTGTATATATGAATTGGACTCATTCGCGATGTCCACCCACTTTGTCCAATTCCTTTGGTCGTCAAATCATCGTGTAGAAATCTTCAAATGGGGCTGCCAGCACACTTTCAGAGAAATATGTAAACACTAACAAAAAAACGAGAGCAGAAAGTAGAAAATAAAAAAAAAGAACTTCCATTAAAATGAACGAATGAACGGCCACCCTTTTTTCATCCATCCATTCCTCGACTTTATTCTCGATGGCCATTTGTTTCCTTTCCCTTTTGTGTATGTGTGCGCGTGTGCTTGTTCGTTCGTTCACTCTTGCCGTATTTTTTTCTTATTTTCCTCTGTCGCTAACGAGTTTTGTTATTGCTGCTATTTTTATATTTTAATGGAAAAAGTCGATTGGAATGGTAAGATGCGTATGCAAAGTGCGTGAACGTATTAGAATATTAAAGTAAATAGCGGACTAGAAATTCGGCGGGAGCAAGATAGAAAGCGACGATGCCAAAAAAATAGGAGGCCAGAAAAAAGCGGGCAACAAACGAACATGCGGAACCAAATAAAACGAGTTCCGCAAACACTTTCGCTCGTTTCGATGAAAAGTTAAATTAATCGTTTACGTACAAAAAACTCTTCGCCATCGTCATCATTGAATGGGCAATGGTGTGTGTGCGCATTACGTGCGATCAACATCAAACAGAGGTAAGAAGAGACATTAGACACACACACACACACACACAGAGAGAGAGAGAGAGAGAGAGAGAGAGAGAGAGAGTGATAGAAAGAAATTTATACGCAAAACGATTCTCATCATTCATCAGGCGCAGCATTTTATATCCATATACTAAAATTGTTTTGAATTCAAATGACGATGAATATAAAAACAAAGATAGAGAAGGGGAAGAAGAAGAAGAAAAAATAATATAGATTCCATCGGACGAGCTCATTCGGCGTGTTATCTTCTTCGACAGCGAACGTGTTTCATAACAAAAGCGAACAAGCAATAGACACCTCTGAGTGGAGCCATTAAAGCTAAGATGAGGCGATTGCCTATTCCAAAATGAGGTAATCCCCTAAACAAAAATGATTTGATAAAGGTTTATTTTATGTGCGCCTTCTTTCTTTCTTTTTATTTTACATCTTCAAAGAAAATTAAACGAATCCCAAACAAAAGCGCCCACTTCTTTTCATAGTTTGGCAAACGATAAAAATTGGCCAATTTAAATTCACTGTCCATGTTCATCATGCGATTTTGGTTTGGTCTCTGTAAGAATATTTCTAAAACAAGTGCTTCAATTCGCAACGTTTCTTAATTAAAAAAAAAATACTTTTTTTTCGATTTTAAAGTGCATACTCTTCCATTACTCGTGTCGAATTAATAATAAAATAATTTAATCGCATGAAAACCTAGAAATATTGAAATTTCATGTATCG